ATTACTCAAATTTTACATATACCACACAGTTCAATTCAAAAAGATGTACAGAAACTAATAAAAATCTAAATACAATTATCTGATCAGAATATTATATGTAGTCTACATATGAAAAGACTACCAACTATTTTCCGATTTTGAAAATCTAATTGAAAGGCATGTTCCAGTGGAAACCTGCTAATAAAATATAGCATATATCTGCTAATAAAATTCAATTGGACTGATCGATTTCTCTTTTACTACCTACCTACCTACCTACCCATAAAGTATATGAATTCATTTATATAATTCAAATATTACTTAGATTAAGGTTACAAATATTCTCAAGCTAAAATTATTTAAATTTATATTCTGCTATAATAGTCGATTATTACCTACCTACTTATATATGTATTCATTTATATACAAATATTACTTAAAGGTTTACAAATATTCTCAAGCTAAAATTATTTAAGTTTATGTTCTGCTATAATAGTTGGTTGTTACCTACCTACTTATATATGTATTCATTTATATAATTCAAATATTACTTAAAGATTATGAATACTCTCAAGCTAAAATTATTTGTTTATATTTTGCTATAACAGTCTATTGTTACACTATTATCAAAGTATAAATATGTAAATACAAAAATCTATACATAATGTAATCAATGTTATAGGTATATAATGTAATATATCTGTAGACATATATAAATATATGTATATAATCTTGACTATACATTTTTTAAGTATTATGAAATAAGTCAGCATTGGAGCAATTAAATTTTAAAAACTTAGTTTACAAAAACAGATTTTTAAATATTTAAATATCTATCCAAATATAAGACATATAACAAACATATATCCAGATATAAGAGATAACAGACCAATTTTCATTTGCTACCTTTTTATTTATTCTAATACATAAAAACTATTCCTGTAAATATGAACACTTCCTTTCTACCAAACTCCTCTTTTCTGTCCCTCAACCTCCAGTAGCACTAAAGTCAAAGAAGAAATATGGTAAATGGGTATTTTAAGAAACATTGAATTATCTGCAAAAATGGTGACACAAACTGAAAAGAATTTAAAGGTTTTGACCCAATTGATATTCTTTTGTCTATTTCTTCCCTATTTTTTCTTAAACTTGCAAGAAATCAATAACTGACTTAAGGAAATAAATGTGTACAGATACTATTTTGCCTTGACCTCGGGGTTTTGGGTGCTTCAAGTTATGGGAAAAAATTTTCACTTTGTTGAAATTTCTATATCATCTACATGTAGGGTTACTCTGAAAATAAATAAATGCTGACAAAAGTACAATAAGAAGTCCACATTATTATGTATTTTTAAATTCACATTTGAGAGATATACTTTTAAGCCATTATTGAAGGATTGATAGCAATATTTTTGTAGTGCTTCTATTGTTTTTATTTTAAAGTCTGAAGACTACTTTCAGTAATGCCAATTATTATACATCCAATATATGAAGAAATTAAAGCACTCATAAATCCATTCAGAAGTAAAGGTAGTCGTACTGCTGCTAGGGAACACAAAGGAAGGTGTTTTAAAGTCAACCAAGCATATCAAAAGTATTTATTATGGTAAATACTAAGTAATCTGATACACATACCACAGAATTTTAATCCCATTATGAAATTCAAAGGTATGTTCTTAAGATGGCACCTAGATTTAGTCATAGTCAAACTGAACCTATATTTTCAGTCTCACTATCCTTTAAGCCAATCATAGAAATGTGTTGAATTAATAAAAGTTAAACAACTATTTGGTTACATGGACCATTAATCTATGGTGAAAGTCCCCTAGATGTCCCATGTGACTTACAATAATTTACTTCTTTGAAATAGGAAATGGAAAACTTATCCTGTAGAGGGTAAGACAGTAAATATTTAGGCATTGGTAGGCTTTGCTATCTCCACACAAATGTGTAGCTGTGCCAAAGTAGCATGAAAGCAGTCACAGACAACATACGAGCAATAGATGAGGCCATATTCCAAGAAAAACAGGTGTTGGGCATGACTAGGGTCTCAGACCACTGTCTCAATAAGTCACCTGCTACAAAATAACAAAATTCCATATAAAAGGATTCCAACTCTCAGATTTTGAAAATCTAAACAAATTGTAAATTTCCAAAATGATTTGGTTTAATTTTACAGTATTTTAAAAGGTAATAATGACCACCACATTATTCTGTATTCCCCAATTTGAAGCGCTGTCAATAGGTTTTTTAATATATTGTTCTAATTTGTTCTAATTTGTTTTATATATTGTTCACAATCACTCTCATGATATCAGCAGCAAACAGGTACCTTCTGTACATTAATTTCAATTTAGGAATTAATTAATATTATCAACTATGCATTACAATGCCTACTTATCTTAGTGAATGAATGAGCATTCATTAGTAGTTCTGTAGTTCCATTTAATTGTATAAGAATAGTATTATCTAAAAAGCTTTCAAAATACAGAAAATGAGCATTTAAGACATATTTGGTAATATTAACTTATTCCTAATTTTAAATTAACTTTAATTTATGGAAGGTACACAAGAGTGATTTCACATAGGAAATAAGCCACTGAATCTTATAAGACTATCACAGGCATGAAAGATATAAAACAAAAAGAACTCCTAAAGTAATCATGAAAATATTTACGACAAGGTATTTCTGTATATTTGTAGAGCTGCACAGTTACGATGATCTGAAGCAAAGTTTTAAAATGCCATGCTTCTTCTTGATACCAAATTCATTTACTTTATATAGATAATTAAATATCTCAATTCCAAGGCAAAACTAGGTTCTCTAATACATTAACTTTAATCATTGATATATACACCTACAAAACCAACCTTTGCATACTAGATTGCTTTAGTCCTTTCCGGTTGAATCATAAAATAAGTTCATGAAAATCTAAATAATGGACTATATAAATTTAACTCATACACATCGAAAGCTAAGATTCTAAGAAAAGCATGTCTACTCACACAAAAAAGTTCTTTCCAAAAAGCAGACATTGAAAAAATGAGAATTTTTTTTTTCTTATTCATTCACATAATACTTAATGGTGTGCCTATATTTTGTAGTTACATGTTAAGGCAAGGCAGACAAGGTCTGTGCTATCAGAGGGCTTACAACCTAGCAGGAAGCATACAAACAAATCACTGCCTTTAGTTCTAAAAAAAAAAAAAATTTGCATTAATAAATGGACTGTCTTGAAAGATTCTATTTAGCAATATTTGAGTTAATATATCAATAACAACATACTGACCAGAAGCAAACACCACTACTTACTCTTCAGTGGGTGGAAACACTCTTTTAACATATAAGGAAAATATATAAAATAGACAAAAGCAATGTTTGCATAATTATGTTTGACAGTTTAATATTCTGGGGGGTAACCAGAAATTTTAAATAGTCACATCATTATGAACAGTGGAGAACGTAAAATTATCTGCTCGAAATCTTTGCTTCTTAGTAAAAACAGGCTTTCTCTTGGTATGAATTAAGTCACTTAGTGACAAAGTACAGTTTAGAAGTCTAAGTTTTCTAATCCAAACTCCACTTTTATGAGATCAGATAGCTTTACATAGCTTATTCAAGAATACAGGGTGTCAGTAAAGGCTATTATTGCCAACTGATTAAATCACCAGTATGATGATGATGGCAGAGATAGTGAAAAATATTGGTGTTTTTCATAATCAACTGTAAATAAAATAGTAACACCATAACCTAACATGAAGGTCAATGTTTTGTGATATGGCAAAAAGTATTATACAGCTAAAACACAAATTGCTGTATTTAAACTTTAGTTAAGTACTTGGTAGAGAATTAGAAAAAAAACAAAAAAAGAAAAGAAATGAATCAGTATTTTACCACTGTGAACATTTTACTTTTACTTTTCAACCACCTGATCACCTCTTTCTTAAAGAGAGCTTATCTCTTTTTTAAGTATAATAAGAACATTTAATTCATCAGATTTTGTTAGTTGATTTTATTTTTTTTTTCTACAATGATAATTACATTAATATTCTAGGTCTTGTGCTTTCTATACAGTACAAATTAGGAAAGAAAAAAACAGTTACTCTCAATGATACTCATGAATGTTTGTAAAATAAAAGTCAAAATAAATGTGAGCCAATCGTTGAAATTAATGTGTGCTGTATTTCTGTATCAGTTTTATCACTTTATTATAAAGGTAAAGTCATGTGACAATATTATAATTTCTTGACTTATCAAGGCAGAGAAAGTGAGTTTCTACTGAATAGGTAGCCTTTTAGTAAAACTTCCTGCATCACCAAATTTTTTCCACATCAAAATAATCATTGAATGTTTAATTAAACTACTTTATTAAAAGCTTAGCATTAAAAAAAAACATATTTCACATGTTTTATTTTGTTTACAAATATACTTATAGTTTCTATCATAGCACATAAGAAGTACTGTATCCTACATTATTCTCATGCAATAGCAGAATTGTTATTAAAATTTTTATATATTTTGTGACCAATACATCATGTTAGGTTTTCATAATCTACTATTCAAACATAGCTAGACATTTAGGGTGTTTACTTTACTTGTATTACAATAAAAATATATGAAAATAGCCCAGTGTTTCTGAACAAAGAGGTTCAATGTATATCCTACTTTCAACTCTTAATAGCCATGAGTCTTTGTTTTTCTGAGCCTTTCATTCTATAGTAGTGGGGTAGTTTTAATAAGGTATGTGTAAAATATTGAGCACAGTGCCTGACACATGGTGCTTAATAAATTACGGTACTATGAAAATTTTCCAAATTTCAAGAGGTATCCTTAAACTGGATTCTAAGAAATAAAATTAGGCTTTTAATAAATGTCCCAGATTTTTTCCCAAAATATTTATTTAATTTAGATCTCCAACAGCAGTGTACCGATCAGCAAAATGTTAAAAGGAAAATGAATTTAGAAAGAAAATGAAGTTAGTAAAAATATTACTGATAAAATAAATATGATGTATACTTACGCTGCATGAGGGGCTGCCAGCCCTTTATGAGAGGGTGATAAGGTCTGAAGTTTGTTTCCCAAAGAGCTGCTAACTGAAGACACTTTACCTGTGGGCACACCTTATAATAAAAGGGTATTAATTTTAACAACGTTCTGGAAAAAAAAAATCAAATAAAGCAGAACCTCTGACAGGAAAACAATGCTTTAGTGGTAATAAATCAAAACAAGCAATCAACTAGGAAGTGTTTTATTTTTTAACTGACATTCCAGGAAACACCATTTATATCTAATTTCTTTTTTTCTGTTTTTAGTATATACATACAAATAAAGGCACCATCTCAATAGTCAACAGTTTCTTCAAGCTACTACACATTTGTCTATTAAGAAGTGTCCCAATCTCAGTAAGATGAGAAACTAATATAGAAATGAAAGAAGAATACTGAGGTGGAAGAATCAAGAAAAGAACTTGGTTGACCATTCTGAACGGATGACTTGACCATTTTGAATGGATGACTTATCAATAACAACATCAAAAATAAACATTTAGAGTAACAAAAAAAGAATTGCAGAATATCTCAAGTAGAAGCTATTTAAAGTTACTGAATTTTTAAAAAATACAATAGTTTATTTTTACATCACTTTGTGCCTTTTCCCACCTCAGTTGTAATCAGCAAATCTCCCATGTGCCATCACCATAGTCCAGTGCACTCCCCACCCCAACTCGATATTTAATCCCATTCCCCACTCCGTCCCCCGTAAAATGGTATATAGTTGTTCATTATTGTTATATTTTCTCCCTTGGTCTTTTATACTCCTGCTATTAGTGAAACCATCCAGTTACCGAATTTTTATCCAAAAATAACTGCTTAGTTATCACAACTCTTCCTAATTATGAATCTATTTTAATATTGCAGAATAGATCATTATTTCAGTTTCTCTGTTATCCACATTGGTTAAAAATGTCAAATAAATTTATGAATTTTATTACCTACAACAGTTTTGCTAGTGCCACTCGGTTGTGGTAATCGTGAAGACACTGATGTGGTTCCAGGAGAATTTGACTTCTTAACAGCAGGTGGCTTATACTAAAACAATGAAAATAAGATATTGTTATCAACAACTCCTTTTACTAGATATTAAATTACCCAAGTCAAGAAAGTACAGATTGAAATATGTTACCTCAAAGAGGGTTCCTGAATCTTAAAGTTCCCTCTCAAAACTGACTTACTGAAAGTTTTTTTCAGACACTACACAGCTAAAATAAACCAAGAGCAGGTTTTCTCAGCGCAAAGGGGAAAAAAAGGTCTAATGAAAGTAATTGTTTCAAATGTCAAACATTTAACAGAAAAACTCAGAAAGCCCCAATGCTGTTCACCTGGTGGTACAACTATGTTTTTGGCTGTGCTTTTTACATTTCATATATATATATAGTCCAGCTAAATTTCTTACTAATAAAAACTCATGAGGTAACTTTACCTGTGACAGAGCGAATTCTGGTTTACTTGTCATTGCCAGTACAAGTTAGGTGAATTTAATATGGGTTGAGAAAAAGTAGTTTATCTTGCTTATCTATTTTCTTTCAACATCATCTAGAAGAATATATCACTATTTATTTTATTATTTATTTGAGTCACATTTTACTCAGAATGTTAAATGTGAAAGTGTCTGATAGATCACTTGATGCTCCAAAATAAAGACAAAAACTTGTTCAGGGTTATACCCCAACTTAATGACAGACTAGAATTAGAATTAAGACAGACTAGAATTAGAATTAATTAAAATGAATGATGTAGAACACATATCCATAGACATATAAATATATATACATGACCTTAGTTCTAGCCTGATGTTTCAATTATAGGTGATTCCTGGGCTTATATGTGTACTTGAAATTTAAATAAAGTCACTGTTTTATTTACGCTGCTTAAGATTTCATGTGAAAAACTGGTTTTCAATCTAATTAGATCTAATTTCAAAAAATCAATATTTTATAATCAATAATTAGTGTAATACAATATTTATGATGTTTTACTGCTTATTACTGCTGGCTAGACACAAATTTTAAAGGCAAACATTGTAACGCTTTTAAAATACAGTATGTTATCTTGGAATATAAATGAATCTTGATAATTTATTACACACATAATTGCCATGCACATATTTTGCCAGAAACTTTTGCTTAAAATTTCTTAAGCACCTGGGCCCTCCCTGGTGGCACAGCAGATTAAAGCACAGCACTAAGAAGCTAAAGCTGCATCAGCATGAGTTCAATTGCCGCCCCGGAGGTGACCACATGGTGCAGCAGACCTTTCCAGGCCCACCCACTGCCCCCTCAGCAGTGTACTTTATCAATCTGCCTGTTCTACTTCCCACTCTGTTTCTGGTGAAGCCTTTCACCACCCTGCAACCTCTGCCCTGTACCTGAGTTCTGTATGCATAAACAAACACAAAAATAAATAAATAATTATTAAGCACTTGACAAGTAGAAAGGCTTCATAACTATCTGTCAAATAAGTATAAATGACTAGGAGTCCTTGAAGATCCATCACACATAGTTTCTCTGAAATGTCATAGTAAGAGGTGTCTCCAGTTTAAAAGGCATCTGTATATACTGGTCTTTCATTAAAATACCAATGAAGATTAGAAATTTAAAGCTAACAACAATATGGAAAACAAGATCTAATAAAGACCTGTGGAAATATTAAAATCATGTCTCTAATAATAAAGTTAATAAAATTGCACTAAGAAATAGGATAAGTGCTAACATTGTGCTAACTATCAAAAAAGAGGAAAATATTTGCATAAACAAAGGGGTTCACATAACATATTAAGCAGTCAAGCCTTATGGATACAGGTATAAAGGACATCCTATAATAGAGAGTAAAGATTTTGGATATATTAGGGATTATTATTAATTTAATGACTCAAAAGTACCAAAAGACAGAATATTCCTTTCAAAAGGTTATTTGTCTTTCTGCTCTCTATTAGTTATTCCACTGCTTTAATCAAATAATGTATTGTCAGGGTTTTCTGAGCTGTCCAAAACTAGCCAAACTTCATCTAATGCCCATTAAAATTTATTGCTGCTTTGGCAGGAATATGATGAAGGACACAGCAGCTGTGGAGCAGATTTGCAAGGCAAGACTGCTACTTAAGCAGAAGTTCTTGTGTCATTTATTGAAAGCATAAAGGCCAGTAAAAGCTGATCATGCGACAATGGCATGAGGAATAAAGTCCAGTGGGTGGGATAGGAATGGGGAACAAAATTTTAAGAGGGACAAGGAAGGGGACATTGTGACCACACATTGAGACATTTGCATCAGCAAAGGTAGAGTTATCCAGAAACCACATGGAGATAGTCACGTAATCATGTCAACAGTGGCCTAGGCATCCCTGGCCTGGCCTGCCTCGTGATATGAGCTCTACTCTATAGATAGGCAAGGAATGCTCTGTTGTGATTTGTAGATAGCAAGGTCATGGTTGCCCAAAAGAAGCCAGCTAGTAGCCAGCTCACAAGAGCCCACATATATTCTATAATATTCCCTATTACTTTTAATGAGTACTAGTTGGAATAGTTTCTGTACAGAATCCTCAATCTACTCTAAATGCCTCATTTCAAACCTCTTGACAGTAACTTGCTGTTCCCCTGAACTAAATAATCTGACTCCTGCCTTACTAAATTGTAGTTTATCTGCCCCAGAACAATCCTGCCAGCACTGTAAGTACTATGAAGAATTAAAGGATAACTCTATTAACAATTTCATAGATACATTTAAATTATTACAAGAACAAAATAATTATTTACATATATATGCATAACTGCATGTATATGCAGTTATATTCATAGATATATTATTCATTAAATAAATATCTCTTGACTACTGATTATTTCATATGCTTTTACACAGGCTGCAGAACTAATAAATTTACTTAATAAAACTATATTTACAAAGACTTTTCATTGAAAGTGAAAAAAATGTAAAGAATGTGGAGAATATTCATTTCTGGTAAAATGGTAGACATCATTTGGATCAACCTTTAAGTGAAAATTGAAAATGATGAGCAAAGTACAATCATTTTAGCAATACTAAATGTCATGTGGGTGGAAGAACTGCCAGGTCAACATAATGTAAGACTAACAACAATTTGGTCATTATATAGATTTGCTATATAAATTAGCATTACTGGGATGGTCAAGCAAACCAAAATTAATAATTTTAAGACCAGTAGTTTGCTTTGAAAGTGGGCACAGGTCATGTATAATCCTCATGAATAACATTTTATATGAACAAGAAGCAGTCAATAATAATTTTGGAAATAAGGACATATGAATCAAGAATAAGGGTGAAAAAAGAGAGCAAAAACATATCCCTGATGGTCATATGATACTACAATTTTCAGACGCATAACAGAAAACAATTATGTTTACTAAACTAAAATAAATAAAAGGTAACTTTGTACCCTTTTAAGTTAACAGGGGATTGGGGCTATAAAAGGGAACACAGGAAATTAGCAAGCAATTATAAGAAATTAAAAATACAGTAACAGAGTCATGGAGGAAAAGGGCAGTAGCTATATGCCCTTTTATAGATAACAATTTTAAAAAATGATTAAAAATTACTTTAAAACACTGTTGGCCATTCAAAGCAGTTCTACAGAACTAGTAATTGAGTATTCTGAGTATAACTGCAAGAAAGGGGAAGGAGAGGGAAGGGAGAAAGGAAAGTGGAAGGAAAAGAGGAAGGAGTCGTCAAGAAAACAAAAGGAAAAATCATAACAGAAAAGTATGGCCCATATTTAGCAAAAATGACAGTTCACAGAAACTGACTCAAGTGGGCACCAGTGTGCTAGATTTAGCTGTTAAGCTAAACAGTTAATACAGTACATTTAATAGGAAAAATAAAAGGTCTTTCACTAAAACAAGAGACAAGGAAGAAGTAACCAGTGGAGTTAAAAAAAAAAGAGAGAGAGAGAAGACATCATTTTGAAAACCTAAATACAACCCCATATCAATAATTTCAATAAATGGAAATGACTTAACAACTTAAAACAGCAGGGTGGTGTTGCTATATTTTAAAAAAATAACCAATTATAAAGGCTGTCTATAGGAGATGAAAAAAGTCTTTAAAAACATTTAAAGAATAGAATTAAGCATTGTCAGTCACCTTAACCTGACCTTTATAAAACACTATCCACAACTACAGAATACATTTTTTCTACAAATGCCATGGAACATCCATTAAAAAAAAAAAAAAAAGACCATATAGCTACAAAACTACAAATCAGGTAATTTACAGGTGTAAAACAAGTATGAACTAAGTGGAAATCTTACTCTGCTCTTAGACCACAACAGAACCTAACTAAACATAGCAATAACATGTCCAGTAAAGCCCAAATACCTGGAAGCAAATGGCTCACTCTTGTATAACCTAATAGTAAAAGAAAGCTCAAATTATAAAGTATTTTGCACTGTACGGTAATTAAAAAAAAAATCTGGTCAAGGATGTAAACCAATGATTGTACTTCAACTGAAAAACAGCAAAATAGAAAAACATGTTAAGGCTTTTGGGGTTACTCTAGAACAATGCTAAAGCAATGAAACCAAAAGTTATTTCTTTGAAAAGATGTAACAAAATTCACAAATTAATTCGATTGATAGAGGAAATAAAGGAACAAAGGTAAGAGAAAAGACAAAATACCAGAATGTGGAATGTTCAGGGAAATATAAACTATCAGTTTTAAGTAGTTTTGTTCCTTTTATTTGTGTACTTATTTTTTTTTTTTTAAGCAATGTCAAAGTGATCAGTATAAAAGTCTTTCACCTCCTTGGTTTAATTTAGTCCTAGGTATTTTATTATTTTGATGCAATTACAAATGGAGTTATTTTTCTAGTTTCTCTTTCTTCTAGAGAAAGAGAACAAAAATAAAAAAAAGTATCACTTCAAATTCTATAGGTACTAAAAGCACAATACCTTTAGATCAGTAAATTCAATTATACAGGCAAATTATGTAAATGATGCAAATTATCAAAATTGACACTCAGAAAACATGAAAATCTGAACACTTTGTCTACAAAAGCAGTTGAAGCATTAATCGAAAACTCCCCCCCAAAAAATAAAAGAAAAACCCACATCCAATTGCTTTATTAGTGAATTTCAGCAAACATATAAAATAGGAATAATACCATCACTACAAAACACTACAGAGAATTTACAGAAATTTCAGAAAATGGGAGGAAATCTTTATAAATCCATTATGAGGTGATATCAAAACCAGTGAAAAGCATAAAAGAATGTTAGTGGGCAGATTGTGGCATCTGAGACTCCTAAATTTGCACACTCTAAATGGGTTGTGCCATTCACTGCATAAAGACAAAGCATAATTCTTAATATGCAAAACCTTAAAGAGAAAAATAACTAATAGAATTAGTGTGCATTGGATAATAGCTTCCAATCAAAGGCCCAAAGTTACTTATCTCCTCCCGAGTGAAAGCCCAGTCAAACAGGTTGGCCCAAAAGACTTGCCACATCTAAGTACCTTAGGCAGGGAGTTATAGGAAGGGGCAAAAGGGGCCAGGAAAATCTGGAGGAAAAGGAGTATAATCAAAGTATAAAACAAGATAAACTAATCTTTAACCAACATGCCTAGCTAATTAATTCACTGGGGAAATGCAACAAAGCACTACAACAGAAAATCCACATTAAAAAGAGTTAACAATTGTCCTGTACTTCACATCATATACAAATATTAGCTTGAAATGATACACAATCTAAATATAAACACTAAACTATAAATTTCTAGACCACATAGGAGAAAACTATTTGCATCCTTGATGTAAACTAAGCATAGATCATAGAAAAAATTAGGTAAGATGGCAATGATAAAACCAAAAAATTTTTGCTCTCCAAAAGATATTCTTAAGGAAATGAAAAAGCAGTTAAAAAAAAAAAA